CTCTGTGCGACGTTATCGTGCGCTGTTCCTAGGTACCATAGTCGCTACTGACCTCTTCAAGTTCCACCGGAATACACTACCGCGCACTTTCTCGAACTCCTCAATACGAGCTCGCGAGCGTTCGAATTATCGCGAAAACCGCGCCGCTCCCGGCATTTACTCGATTAACATTAAGGGTAGTGGTCGGGCCAAGTTCAATGTGTACTCATGAATATCAATCAGCTCGGTGGATAACATTCATTCCATCGGGATCGATTAGCATTCGGTAGAACGAGTGGTTCGTTCTATGCATAGGGTGTTTCAATGTTAACGGTAGATTTTTTTATATATAGAGTAAAACTTTGATTTATCAAGTCGCCGATTTTTGTGATCTAGATACAATGTCTTAGTTATTCGGAAACTACAATTCAGATTCTTAAGTTATACTTGAAGGTATTATGGGGCTGAGTTCTGCAAACATGCTTTGAAGAATTTTTTCTAGAGTTCCTATTTATTTGGACTGTTAGTCGCTTAATTAAATCACATAGTTGAAGTTTTACTGTATTGGATTTGAAGTTTTTTTCATGTAATTATATGCGAAATGTTATTGCATCGTTTGAAAGATATAAAACACTTTAAGATGTCAGTTGAGAGCTATTTTAACTCCTAGTGATAATGTAATGGAGGTACATATACTGTGCCAATTAGATGGATGATTTCTTGTTATCTTAGGTAGTATCATTATTTTGTTGATGTAAGATTTTTAAGGTTTTCACTTAAAGAATTATTCTAAATGATTTTAATTAATGTAATAAAATACTTCTTTCATAACTTCTTAGGTACAGTTTCTTTATAAAAGTTATCCTCCATTATCCTATGTTTATGTATAGTTATACCGATATAGCAGCATTGAAATAAATACTTATACAAATTAATAAATAGAAAATCGCTTGAAATAAAAAAAATCAGCGTGTTCCTAATTGTTGCATATATATTAAATAACTTCGAACTGGTCAGTACGCTTTTTCTCGATACCACGATAAATAATAGCATAAAATGGGAGCTCGAAAATGATAGTAAACACACTTGTACGATAAATTATGCTGGCATAGAAATGCCGCAAAATACACGTACCCCAAAAAGGTTTAAAACTTTTACGACCTCCCAATAATATCGTTTAAATGACCACCTCAGCTTTTTTATAACTTTTATAATTCGGGCTCCGTGTCACGAATAACTTCAAGAATACTGCTCAATTGATTGTGGATTATTGGCATAAACTTTTGATTTAACGTAGCCACGGAGAAAGAAGTCCCACGATATCAAAATCGAGTTCGTTTAGTATTCGAAAAATTGTGGTTTCAACAGGTCGATAATATTTATCGTAAATTCCTGGCACGCATGAAACGTAGCGCAGATTGAAAGAGAATTTTGATGTTACATTCGAATAATGTTATCTCTTTGCTGAACCGTATATTGTTCCATGGTAATTTATAAAAGGTAAATAGTTGATGGCATCTGTGAACGTTTCATAAAAATATGGTTGATTTTTCATTGTTTAACATTCATCATTCATTGCTACACTCTATACTTCAAACGGTTAGTCAGTATAAGTTTCATTTTCATTTCATATAGTTGAAAAGAATTTTATATGCTTCAAATATCGAGTTATAAAGTAATTGAAGCATTACCTACAGAATAAAGTCGAAAGTACGCAGATATTAACATAATTATATCATTAATCCAGAGTTTTAATAATAGAAAAAAATATTTAATGTTTAAAATGAAATTGCGAATTATACTGTTGGACTTCTGAACTTTCCAGATGTATATAATAAATCGTGCGATACCAGAAAAAGTCAAATAGACATGGAAAAAGCTTCCAAAGCAACTTATTGAAAAGACGTAATTGAAACAGATAATTTAAAAAGTTAGATTTTAAACCTAATAGTACTTTTCCGATGATGCATCATACGAAAATTAGTATAATTTAAATATTCACACAGCATTTATTTTCAGTTTTATTAAATCTTCCTCGTGAAAATTCACTCAACGTTTTCACAATTCAATATGACGGTCGCGAAATATTTACTGCCAATTATACGTAGATGAGCAGCAATATACGAAATATAAGTTGTCTATTCTATTAAAGTAAAAAGCTAAAGTTTCACCATGTTCCAACATCTTAACAGAATTTCTTTCAGTCTACAAACCTACTTTCTTTCGATAGATTTCTCGAGTCTATCGTACTGCAGTACGGAATAGTTATGAATAGTAGAGTATATCAGAAAACGAATCTCTTATTTGGAAAAAGAATTCAAGTATTAGATCAATGACAAAGAGAAAAATATTAAATAAAAGGTTAAAATTCTGCCAAAAACACATAAAGAAAATTCATTATGTGATTTAAAATCTAACATTATTCAATTCTTCTCAAAATGTTTATTATTCATATGTCTTTGGAAAAAATGTGGTTCAACTAAAGATGATATGGTTATTTAAACTTACTTTTTAATATCCTAAATACTATTATACTTACTTCTTCCAAATAGCATTAGATCAAGCAATATCACACAATACTGCAAGACAATCATAAAAGAAGCCTCGTGAAAGGTAACTCTGCAAACAAACAATCGCCAAAAAACAGATCAATAGCTTTACGATTTAAAAAAGAACATTTAATCCGTAAGGGAAGCGGAGGGGAAAAATAGGGCATCTGGACCGGGGCCTAGAAAATCGAAGTTCTCCGACGATTCTCACGACTCGTCCGTGCCTTTAATGAATAAATGGCGAGTATCCTCGGCAGATGGGTGGAAAGGGGTGAAAATCGAAGTCAGCCACGCCCTGCCGAAGAGAGAACAAAGAAAAATCAGAAGTTACGCGCGGAACGATCCGCGGAACCCGTTCGTGATCCGGAAGACGCCGCGTCGCGGGAACGGTAGGTATTTCGAGCGTATCAAGGCCAAGGTTTATTAGCGGTGGATCAGTTTCAGAAGCCAGGCTAGGTGTCAAGTGCTCGCAAGTGGTCTGGAGTGGTGCTCGTAAAACGTGAATATAAACGGACGGCGAAAGTGTCGCCTTCCGCGAGCTTGGCTCGCCTGCCCGCTCTCCACCGCGCTGTTGTTCCATTTGTCACCCCCTGAACAAGTTATTGCGACTTGTCACCTGTCAGCCATTGAAATATCGCGAGGAATAAAGGTGTCGAGTAAGGTTATAATCGAATCGATGATTTAGAATGATGGTATGAATTATATTATCGGCTGTTTAGGGAAGTCACTGAAATATTGGCTTTTAAGTGGGGTACCATGAATTATTGCGACCTGAAGAATACACGACGGGGAATTAGTGTTCGTAGTTAGCAGAGTTACATGGTTTTGTATGGATCTATTAAGTATTATTTACTGACTCACTTGAGTATACGTTGTTATATGGTTATTAGTAAATAGACACTTGTTATAAGAATGTGATTATAATAATATTCAAGTATCGATGTGTATCGATTTTGGAATACAAATTTATTTTGTTAATATCGTATAGGTAATATCGTGACTATGTGCATCTATACTGTACTTCGTATTTTAAAATGTGTCTCAATGAAATTGTACTTAGTAATTAATAAGTATAGAGGTGTAGAAGATTTTGAATGTTTTCCAGTTTTTTATAAGTTGACGAGGAAAAGGAAATATTATGGATATTAAATTTAAAGTTTTTCATTTTTCTTTTGATTATTGAGACTTTATATGAAAATACATGTACATAAAGAAACAGTTTTATTAATTATTATTATTCTTCTATATGCAGATCTGACCACTTCAATGCATATGCATATAAGTATTCTGAAAAAAGGTAATAAATTTTCGAAAATATCGTGACATTAGCAATAAATATTGCTAAGGAAATATTAAAACCAGATAAGCAATGTTATGCTAATGTGAGGTAATCAAAATATTGTAAAATACACTATCTATGTAAAACATAATACTTCTTCTAAACGAAGCAGATGTTTCTATATGGAGGGGAATACATTTTCACTGCCCGATTTAAGGGGACCTTCTGATTTGGAGGGCTAAAAAAAATTGAGTTTTTTACATTCTTTCAATTTCCATACCATTAAGAATATACCTTCAATGAGATTTTATATAATTCATAAAATTGTAAATGTTATAGAGGTTTAACGGACTCGCTAGCATAGTATTATATGTTCGCGCGGAAGGTACCATAAATTGATCCTTCCTATTGTTGTGCTCATAAATAATTTTTTTTATCACCTCTATTCTAAAGAGTATATTTCAGTTTGCAAATCTTTCTCGTAAAAACTTCAGTCTTAAACAAGACAGTAGAATATTTGAGTGGAATTGTCGAAAAGATTTTTGAACTTTTTACAAAATTATAAATAGGAAGGGTTATTAACTCTATTGTTAGCAAAGATATGAAGACACATCTTTTAGAATTTTATTTTAATATCATTTTTTACGGTTAATCACTTTTCTCCTACTGATGTTTCGAATTTTTTATCATGATTATGAAATTAATTTAGCGGCATATATTTCTCTTTACGTGTTCTTTTCAAACTTAGGAAATAATTTCAAGTTACAAGTTTATAGCATCTTTTGATATCCTTGATAAAAATATATAGTTTCAGGCAGGTCTACGTACACATTAAAAAAGCTACAAAACATTTCTACAAAAGTAATCGATGTACGATGTGAAGCTGATAATATCTTCACTAGTACGTGATCAGAGAAATAGACGACAACGGATGATGTAGTTTTTATGAACGAAGAGCATTGTTGCAGTACTTTTTGTCCTTTATTTCCTTTATGGAGTGGAAAGTAAACTAAGGTAGTAAATTATAATAAATGCCATGAATACATAAAAATCTATTTTATTTTCGATTATAAACCATTAAACACACTTTCCTCAAATTTATGTACGCTTTTTTAACAAACTTGATTGACTCTTTTTAAACAAATATCCCACATATTTTTGATAATTACGTAAAAAAATAGTTAATCCTCTGATCTGTTTTCAATTGTTTACAAATTTCATCAACTTTGTATTGAAAAGACAGTTTTATCCTTCTTCATAACCACACTTTTAAAAAATAAAACAGCTATGAATTCATTGATTTTAAACGAACAGAAGAGTCACAAAGTGTAACAAGCAGACAAAACTCCAACTTACTTCTAACAGTAAAGGATTCCATGACTGCTACAGTAAACAGAGACAAATAATAGACGGTTCAAAATGTATTTTTCAGATTCAAAAATATGAATAAACACGGAAAAAGATAAAATGTTTACCTTTATTTAATTCAGAACAAAGGTTCCATAGCTTGCTCTAAAAATACGCACATGGACTAGAAGATCATCTGAAATTAAAGAAGACAGTCATCTTATCAGAATACCACTAACTCATTCTATCATCAAAATGAATATTCGCAAACTCAGTGTTAACAAAAACAAACGATAAATTCATACTTAAATCATGTCACAAACTTGATGGAACCAAAGAAACAGGCTTATTGCACAACTAATCCGCAGATCAAACTTCACTTTCCAAAATGTTCCCAAATGTCAATCTTAGAACACTCGATCATTTCCATACATGATTTCATAAAATCTCCCCATTTTCCATTTCATAAACTCAATGCCTTCAACAAACTAATAGCACTCATAGACCAAGCAACACGTTTTGCCACAAAAATCGAGAAATCCGCCCTACCAAATCCCACTTTGCCAAGCATTTCCCGAAAGTTGAGCACCGCTGCGGCGTGTCTAATGTAAGAGGAGGAGATCGTAGGTGGAGGAGGTGAGAGTGAACGTGCGTAGCTAAAGGGGCAGCTCGGCAAGCCGGACTTCGAGGTCCTCCTTCGAACCTTCTACCCGCTTGT